ACCAATTTGAACATCTGATGTTCAACATCAGCATTTTTTATGGAGGGTATATGAGTAATCTTTAAGTAATGAATTGGGGCCTAAAAAAATTTATTATTAAATTATATTTCTATAATAATTTTTTCTAAAATACTAATTTGCCTATACTTTATTAAATCCAAATAAAAATATACCGATATTATTAGGTCCTAACAGAAGGTTTTTATTCCGAGGTTTTTTCGGGGGTTTTTTTCCGGGATTCGATATTTTATTATATGAAATTAAAAATAATTGACATTATAGGGGAAATGTGCCATGAATGGCTATGTTTTTGCCTTTATTAAAAGAGGAATTTGTTTTGACTTTTAAAGAAAACATGGTTCGTCTGATCAATTGCGAGAAAATTTTTTTTTGAGGAAGAATTATGAAAATCGATTTTGCGAAAAAAAGTTTAGCTAATCCCCCCCCCCCCCCAACATTTATTCTTAAATACTTTATATAAATAATAACAAATTTAGTATCGTTTTGTAATATTTTTTATAGGAAATACATGTTCGTATTTTTTAGGCGTGGCGATTAAGTGTGTGAACCCCGGGTTTTTTCCAGAGGCTCGTGATCAGAGCTGGTTTAGTCAATTTTTAGACCCAAACCACGGGTATGAGGGGTTACACTACTAACCAATTAACAAAACTTAATCTTTTTTTTTATTTAAATAGTTTTCAAATCAAGAAATTTATTTATACGTTTAGATTTACAAATCAATCTCCTTACTTTCAAATTTAAATGGTTATGTAATTAAAAAGTGTGCTCTCCTCCTCGCCTAATAAGATAAACGGGCGTAGGCTAAAAGTCACCTCGTTTTAACAAAAAAGTTCAAAAATAACGATTATGACAATTGTCACTTTTCTGTGGTATCTTCACTAAAATTTTAATTTAACATGTTTACAATATATATATTTACCAGTTTTCTTTAAAAAAATTCAAAAAAGTTCAAAAATAACGATTATGACAATTGTCACTTTTCTATGGTATATCTTCACTGAAATTTTAATTTAACATTTTTACAATATATATTTTTACCGATTTACTTTAAAAAAATTAAAAAAGTTCAAAAATAACGATTATGACAATTGTCACTTTCTATGGTATATCTTCACTGAAATTTTAATTTAACATATTTACAATATATATTTTTACCGATTTACTTTAAAAAAATTAAAAAAGTTCAAAAATAACGATTATGACAATTGTCACTTTCTATGGCACATCTTAACTGAAATTCTAATTTAAGATATTTACAATATATATTTTTACCTATTTACTTTAAAAAAATTCAAAAAAGTTCAAAAATAACGATTATGACAATTGTCACTTTTCTATGGTATATCTTCACTGAAATCTTAATTTAACATTTTTACAATATATATTTTACCGATTTACTTTAAAAAAATTCAAAAAAGTTCAAAAATAACGATTATGACAATTGTCACTTTCTATGGTACATCTTCACTGAAATTTTAATTTATCATGTTTACAATATATATTTTTACCTATTTACTTTAAAAAAATTCAAAAAAGTTCAAAAATAAAGATTATGACAATTATCACAAGGTACACCATCACTGGATTTTTAATTAAACGTATTTACAGCCTATATTTTTAATTATTTGAGTCAAAAAATTTCAAATAACTTTAGAAATAACGATTATGACAATTGTCACTTATCTAGGGGAAATCTTCACTGAAATTTTAATTTAACATATTTACAATCTATATTTTTACCCATTAGCGTCAAAAATAAACTAATATGTTTTAAAATACAGATTATGATATTTCTCATTTTTACAAAGGAACATCATCATTGAATTTATAATTTAACATATAATATAATTATATTTTTACCCTTTTGTACCAAAAATTTCAAAAATGTTAAAAAATATCATGACAATTATCACATTAAAATATTATAAGACGATCATGTAAAATAACATAAAAATTTAATATAAATATTTATAAATTATTTAAACTAGTTCTTTTAATATACTAAAAAAAATAGATAATTTTACAAAAATGATAAAAATAAACCCATAAAAGATTTCAAATAAAAGATTAATAATTCACAAAAAAATACCTATTCGAAATATTCGTCCTCTAGTCGACTTAAGTTCACGACTCAAGTGGAAAACTTATGTTCTCGACTCAAGTCGACTTGAGTTCATGACTCGAGGACGGAAGTTAAGGATTCGAGTCGACTTGAGTTCATGACTTGAGTTCACGACTTGAGTTCACGACTCGAATCGACTTGAGTTCTCAACTCGAGTTCACGACTTCAGTGAGTCGACTAATTTGACTAACGACTCATACTCTGAGTCAGAGTCTGGTGTACTCGACTTTTTAACAACACTACTTACAAGAATATGGAAATGAAATTGAGTTTGATGAAAGATAGTCAAAGAAAATAGAATTATAATACCACGCAGAATGAGAAATGAAATGTTACAAGAATTATACAAAGGACATTTAGGTGCTGGGAAAACTAAATTATTAGTAAGATATTATTTATGGTGGCCTGGTATTAACACAGATATAGATCAATAAGTGAAAAATTGTGATTCATGCAACAAATGGGCAGATAATACTCATAATATACAAGATTCGTTGGAAAAAAGCAACAAGAATTTTCCTCATCATCAACAGTCCAATGATCTGTGTGAATGAATGGTATGATCTATGAAAATGAGTATAAAAAGGAATAGGAAAACAACAATAAAATAGACTTAGATATAGCTTTAGAAAAGTTCTTGTTTATTCATTGAAGAACTCCAAATGCTACAACCAACATGATACCGAGGAATGTTTTCGAGAACAAATAGAACCAAATGGGACTTAATTAAACTAATAAAGATAATTAATTAAATCGGAAAATATCGTAAAATAGAAATATTGATATAGGTGATAAAATTAAGTATAAAATTTTCAAGGACAAATCATAACACATAAAGATGAGAATTTATCATACAAAATAAACACTGGAAACAATAGAAATTATTATCCAAGACCTGGAAATTTTTTTAATTATAAATGAATATAAAATAAAAAAATATATTAAATATTAACATATAAAATGCTAAAACTCAGATAATTCACATAAAATATACATGTAAGAATTTTTTTGGAAACTGACGATATATTGAAAATATGATGAACCATATAAATTGACGAATAATGGAAAATTGGAACTATAACAATCAAGCTCAACAAACTATCAACAAGCAATTCATCTAACAAGCAATACGATCAGCAATGGACAAAAGTTGATGAAGAAAATTTAAAAAAAAAGAAGGAAATGTTAAATAAAAATTTAATTTTAAACATTCAAAAATAATATTTGTTAAAGAAAAATTTTCAACATTCATTGATAAAATTATATTTAGTTTTTTTAGGTTTTTGTCTTAAAATTATCCTTATTTAGATAAAAATATATTTCTTCTTTTTTTGTACATATTTTCATTCATTATTTTATAAAATTGTATATAAGTACATATTCCACAGAAACAGAAAATAATATATGAAAAAATAAAGATGTTTTTTTCATATAATAAAAAGAAAGAATAAAAATTTTAATATTAATAAACCACCTTTCCATGCGGACCCCATCTTCTATAATAATAAAAAATATTTCATTTATTTTAATTAAATGATAATATTAATTATTTTATACAATACAAGTATCATATCCTGTTTAAATAAAAAAATGGATTACCATAAGAGTAATATAACATAACGCTAATTTATATTGTACATATAAATATTTAAAAGAAAAAAAATATTTGAAAAGGAAAGAAAACTTAAAAAAAAAAAAATATTTAGGTTAGGTCAGCATTAAAATTTATCATAAGCACTAGTGATGCAAAATCACTAGACCCAATCCGACCAAAATGGCTTGTCAAGTTTATAGCCTAAAAAGTCGGTTCAGCCTTAGAACACGAGCCGAAAAATTCGGTTCATCCTTAGAACGCTTCAGCTCAACCTGGAACACGAGCCAAAATAATTGGCTCAACCTTGGCGATCGAGCCGAAAAAATTGGAGGGGTTCGCCTTAAATTCTAAATCTGTGTATTATCGCTCAAAATTGGAACTTAATAAATAATTATACTTTATATTATATTTGACTATTGAAAAATAAGGATGGGATATTGTTAATGATAGGTCTAAAATTAATTACGCAATTTGGTGATCAGGCTTGTTCTGAGCACGAACCATGAGCTCAGCGCAAAATATTGATATGGGCATATATTTTGATTGTAATCATAATTATTATTCTAAGTGTGCTTATCTAGGTAGTAATATTTAAAGATTTCCATTTAAATTTTTTGACGAATATATCAAAATTCTTTGGCTTTGTTGATAAAATGCCGAATTTGGGGGTCAAGATTTTTTAAAAAAAATATAGGTTAATGTCAAAAAATAGCTATTTGTGGAAGTGACTATTGGAATATAAAGGAAGTTGTTGAAATTTTTGAATTATCGATCTTTTAGGTTAAGAGGATTATAAGGTCTACAAAACTTAATCTACCAACCCGTGGGTTGGGAAATTCTTTATTTTCGGGTAATAAATCATGGTTTGATTATATATTATTTCACAATTTCATTTATTTCCCAAAAATAACATCCTAATTAATAAATTTTTTTAATTTATTTTTCTTTTCATCATAATATATTAAAAGTCTTAATTAATTGTTAAGCCTTTTTTAATTTCAAGTGATATAGTAATAATATGATTTGTTGGATACATAAAACAAATTATTTGTTATTCAATATTCGATTCGGTTCGTATTTTACGAATACGAATAACACAATTATTCTATTTGAAAATTCTAATAAGGAAAACTATTCGTAGAATAATTTTTTCATATTATTCAGATTATTCGACTAAAATAATTTATAGTATTAATAAATATTAAAAAATAATCATATATTATCATTAATAATTATATGAAATTTCATATTTAGTAAAATTTCCTAGTGGAAAAATGAAGAAACATTTTATATTTCTAAAATTTATACGAACTGCATCTCAATGGATATATATGATATCAGGGAAAATGGCAAGATAAAAAAGACATGACGATTAACATAAATTATCTAGGTATAAAACTTAATTTACTTCTAACTACTGTTGCAACTGCGTCTGTTATATATCACAAATCAAATGGAATAGAAATAAATATCAATAAAGATGTTTTATTTTTATAATTTGGAACTTATAATCATTGCTTATCTAGATTATAATTATAACATGTTTACATCTGGCATCAAAAATTGAAGAAGAGTATATAAATATCAAAGATATAATTATGGTTTGTTACAAGTATTTATATTATATATAAATATAAACATTTTTATTATTGGTTAATGTCATAACTGTATTTACAACTCAAGTACTCTCTATCTAAGGAATAAAAATAAATATTCACAAACTTTATCTTCTGAAGAATATGAAAAATACATAGATGCTACAGCATTTTGTGAATGCATTATATTGATTAAATTAAAATTCTGTCTCACATTTACGCATCCTCATATAGTAATTAAACAATATGTTTATATTGTATGTTTTTACTAGTATTTCTTCTCTTTTTTAAAAATATTAATGGATTGGATTCCAAACAGTCAACAATTTGAAAATAAACTTTTAAATGACATTCAGATCCAATCTCTTCACATAAAAGTCTATAAAACAGCATTAAGATTTATGCAGGACATTTATAAATCGAATGAAATGGTGTCATTATTATACCCTAATGAAGATAAAGATAATAATATTGATCCTGCTATGTTTGCTCTATCCTTAATATATTTAACTTTTAAAATTTTAAACATGGAAAAAATCATGAAACCAAATATTCTAATCAATACCAATTTTAATAAATTAATATATTATAAACCTTGGTGGCAATTATTTATTGATATATCTGAACATCAGTTACTTATTATAAGTGAAAAAATTTTGGATTTATATGATTTTTGATCCATAATAATATAAGGGAATTATATGTAAATTATGAAAACTACATATTCAACAAAAAAACATAAATTTTTTGTTTATTTTTCATAATAGATAAAATTTTATAATAATTCACAAATTGGTTAATAAAGAAAGTATTATTGATATTTTAATTAAAATTCATGTAAAAACGAAACAAAATTTATATATTAAAATTACATGATTTAATGCTACCTTGATAGTTTATAAGCTTTAGCCTACTGAATTGTTTACTAAGTAAACAGTTTTATTTATCATAAGGTTTAATAAAATAGGAATTATTCTTGGTTTAATATTATATGACCTGGTCAGATGGATTAACCCAATTTGTTCATAAGCTGTAAAAGTAATATTATTTATTCCTGCACCCAAGAGAAAATTTTACATCCTTCCCTCCTTTATTAGGTAAATTTATATCGATGTGAAGGTAAAAATTTTACTATATTTAAGCCAATGTTTATATAAGTATATTAAGTAGACTAGAGATCTGTAAAATCTAGCTTATGTGTCTACCAGCAAAATGTAAAATCAAATTATTGTCCAGGTTAGAAAATTAAAAAAAAATTATAACCGGACAAATATAAAATTTAATTGGTTGGGAAATTTGTATATAAAAATTATCAAGCTGGACAATTTAGTCATAAAACAGGCAGGGTCTTGAAAATCTCTTATTTTTTGTAAAATTTTAATAGGCAATCATGGGTATTAAAATTTTATTGAATTTCAAGCTAATATTTTGATTGATACTATTTGGAAATACTCAATATTCTTATTTTTAGGGCTCTCTAAAACTAAACCAAATTATATATATAATAATTTCACAAAGAAATTAACCAAGTTATTTATAATATGATCTTACGAATTATCTAGAGAGCCATAGATGAGCGATATAAGTCTTAATTGACACTGGGAATTAGTTATTAAAAATGTAATGGCCAGAAATTATGTACAAAAATATTTAATGGAATGGGGTGGACTTTCATAAAACTCAAATGTGATCATCTTTTGCATAAAAAATTTACTCAAAATACCTACAAATATGTTATGGCATGAAAACTCCCCTTCTATTGTCCACCAATCATAGACTCCAAAAAAGATATCCAACAGGGTGAACCATTTGGTTCACACCTATTATGTCTTGGTATCCATGACCTTAAATCCAAATTTGGCTTGAATTTTAATATATGGTACCATGATGATGGACCATCTGCAGATCACTTTCTAAAATATTAGAAGTTTTAAACTTACTCAAATCTAATTCCAAAACATGAGACTTACTCTTAATCGTAAAAACCCTTTGCTTATAAAAGCCATACACAATTATCTTTTCGAAATTTGTTAAATAATTTTCTATTGTTTATTACCACTCTACCGACGCAAAAATTCGTGGTAAGCAATAAACCGCTGATTAGCTTGAAATATAACTTAAAAATTTCGTCAAAGACTTCTCACAATACCAGATCCAAATTTATGTCAGAGAAAAGCGCTCAGCTTAAATCATGCTATACCTTTGTTAATTAAAAAATATGATATAATTTATGAAAAAAAGTTAAGACGTTTAAATGATAATCAATTAGACGTTAAACGTAAGGAGGGTTTTTCACCCATTTTCTTGGCTTGTCGAAGAGTTCCTTTTGAGTGGAAAAAGGAAATCGATGAAGAATTAGATCAATGGGTTAAAGATGGCATCATCCAATTGAATATAGTGAGTGGACCACACCCTTGGTACTGAGACTCTGTGCAGATTTTCGTGTAACAGTAAACCGGTGGGTTGTTGAAGTGAAATATCCATTGCCTAGGATTAAAGAAATTTTGGCCAATTTAAAAAGGGTCAAATATTTTTTCAAAATTGATTTTTCTTCTGCATATTTACAGTTACCTTTAAAAGAAGAAATTCAAAAATTGTTTACAATAACGACTCCTAAAGGATTATTTGCCTTTTGTCGGTTACCATTTGGATTAAGTGTCAGCGCCGATTTTTTAGCATACTATGGCATCTGTTTTCCAAGGTCTTGAAGGAGTCTTTTATTATATGGATGATGTGTTGGTTACTGGTATAACACAGGAACAACATAATCAACGTTTGAAAAGTTTTCAAACGAATTCGCGATAAAGGTCTGAGGGCCATTAAAGAAAAAAGTGTTCTTGGGGTAACAGAAGTTATCTACTTAGGACATCAAATAAATGGAATGGAGGTGAAACCTCTTGATAAAAATTTAAAAAATATAGCAAATATAAAACCGTCCACTAATGAAGCAAAATTGTAATCCTTTTTAGGTATGATAAATTTATTGCCGTACCTTTGTATAAATTATTACAAAAGGGAGTTCATTTTGAATGGGCAAATGAACAACAAATGACATTTGAAATGTTAAAACAGAAAATTGGGGAAGAACCGATTTTAGTATGTTTTAGCAATGATTTAGAAATCATATTAGCTGTTGATGCATCTAACAAAGATGTTGTAGGTGCCTTATTACATTTAATTGATGGTTTAGATAGGCCAATTTTATTTTTTTCTAGAGTTTTCCGAGAAGTAGAAACGCGATATTCGGTTATTGAACAAGAAGCATTAGCCGTTATTTTTGGTTTAACCAAATGTCGGGAATATTTAATTGGGAAAAAATATATAATTTATACCTGAAAAATATCTTGACTTTAACCAAAATAAAATAGTAAATAAAGAAAAGTCATTGATTTGTTCTTTATAACATATGAAGGTGGTCCTACTAATTACGAATACCTTAAATTCAATAATTTAAAAGATAAAGAATTGAATCAAATCAAATTATTTTTAACTGGAAAAAAACCGAAAAAATAATTGTAAAATTTATCAAAAATTGAAAAAAAATTGTCCGTGGTGGATGATTGTCTAATGCGAGGCAATAGAGCTGTAATTCCTTTTAAATACGGGATAAAATTATTGATCTATTACATGCCAGACATCAGGGTCGGGATAAAATGAAATCTTGGGCTCGTGAATATTTATGGTGGCCTGGTATGAGCAATGATATTGAAAAAAATTACGAAATGTATTCCATGTAATACCTGTGTCTCTATGCCCCCTAAAGAAGTAGGCAGATTTGGCCCAAATCAAAGAAACTGTGGGAACGTCTCCACATAGATTTCTTCGATTTAGACAAAAAATCATATTTTTTGGTGGTAGATTCTTATTTAAAATGGATAGAATATGCAGAAGTGTATGGTTATATCACAAAAATTGTTGTTAAAAAATTAAGAGAATTATATGCCCGGTTTGGTTTACCTGATACGATAGTATCTGATGGTGATCCAGCCTTCATCAATGATTATTTTAAACAGTTTTAAGCTGAGTCACAGACGACAAAACATATTCTTGCTCCACCATATCATCCCAGCTCGAATTGATAAGGTGAGAGGATGGTAGCACTTGTTAAAAACTGGATTAAAAAGGCTGGAAACCATAAAGATGAGGCTTACAAGTCTCAGTTATATTATCTCAATTCTCGAAATCGAGAAGGGATAACACCTGTATAATTATTCTTAGGTAGAAGAACCAAAGTGCCCTTAGATTGTTTAAAAAAAAGGCGTTGTTAATATATTACCCCTAGATAATATACATATAAAAATTCCAGTGGGACAAAAGGTTTGGACCCGTTTGTTTGATAATAAACATAAAAAATGGTGGAAAGGCCATATAGTAAAAAATTGTGGACATAAATTAAGCCAAGTAACTTTGGAGAATGGGGTTATAATTGTGAGACATTTTTGTACTAAAATATTAAATATATATATAAAGATCATATAAACCTAAGATCTTATAGAGGGTATTCTTAAACCCGCATATATAATTAATTGTTAATGATAAATTAAATAGGAATATATTACAGTAACAAAAGTAAGTTATATATCAAAGATATTTGATATAGTGATCATTAGACGTAAAAATCATATAAACCTGAGATCTTACAGAGGGTATTCTTAAACCCGCATATCTTATTAATTGTTAATGGTATGATAATTAAATGTGTATATGTTGTTTGTTAAATAACAAGTTTAAGTAATAAATCAAGGAAATTTTATTGAAAGTATTTGAAGTTTACACATGAGTTAAAATTTCAAGTCGACACATGAGTGTATTAATGTGAGTAAAGCCAAAACAAATAATACTATTTAATTAATGGTTGTGGATGAATTTAATGATAAGATAGTCATAAACAAGGGATAATATATGGTGAAGATGTTAATTTTTAAAATAACACAGATTTATTGAAGAACTGGTAAATTTAAGAAATAACGGTTATTATGATAAACATTTTCTTTTCATTTTACTTAAAATGAAAAGAAAATGTTTATCTTCATAAAAATAATTGATCCTTATTGTTAAGGATATGAGGTAATAAAAAATGTGTTATTTTTGTGAAAATTATCATATGCATTATAAAAAAAAAGGAATATAAAAACATGTATATGTAAATAATTACAATGTGTTATGGTATTTAGTAGACTATAAAAAGTGTTAATTCAAAAATAAAATTAATTAATAATATTAAAATTTTTTTTTTTATTAACGACCATGAATGGCTAGACGCGATTCCGAGTGGTAAAAGGGAAACGTTACTCACAGACGATGAGTTTCAAACTGCCATTGGCTAAGACTTGGTTGTCTTATCATTTCTGTAGACACCTGTGCTTGATCCCTTCTCAAGACTGTTTTTCTTGTCTAAAAGTTAGTGGCCGTTTTCTAAGGCACGACAACCTTGCAAAGCCTAGATTTCGGCAGGTTTCCCCAATAGTTTAGAGCCGTTAGGTCTCCTAAATGCGGATGGTAAGCGTCCCGACGGTAAGTCTTTGACGTCTTGGCACGGCGGCAAAAGACTTGTCTGGGATGTCTCGTGAATTACCTCCTTTCCGGCTAAAGAAAATTTCGACCCTTTGGAACTCCAAGAAATCAATAAGTTTAATAAATATAGATCCCTTCCTAATTTATTCATTCCCCTAATTTTTAGCGTTCTGGGAAACCCCGGTCCCCAATCCTTTAAGTTCGTAAAACAATTGGGTAGATAAATTTCAAGGACAATGGTCAAAAACGCGTATCACGTCAATACCGCGAAACTTTTACCGCGAAATGTATTATCGCGAATGCATTATCGCGATGTCGATTAACGCGAAAAGATATTATAGCGAATGTATCATAGCGAATATATTAGCGCGAATGCATTACCGCGAATGTAATACCGCGAATGCATTATCGCGAATGCATCATAGCGAATATATTAGCGCGAATGCATTACCGCGAAAACATTATAGCGAATGCATTACAGCGAATGTAATATCGCGAATGCATCATAGCGAATGTAATATAGCGAATATATTAGCGCGAATGCATTACCACGAAAACATTATAGCGAATGCATTACAGCGAATGTATTATCGCGAATGTATCATAGCGAATGTATTAGAGCGAATACATTACAGCGAATTCATTAGCGAATGCAATATCGCGAATGTATTACAACTAACATTATCACAATGCAATAGTGATTTATATTTGACAAAATTATATTTAACCCATTTATTAAGTTCCAAAAAACCAGAGAATCAGTTTAATTGTCTATATTTATTTAAAGTAGCGTTTTAAAACTATTTACCTCTAAAACACGTCACTTGTAATTTATGAAATTCGTATTTTATTAAAAAATATGTGGAATTTGGTATACTCAATTTTTTTAACGATTAGATTAAGTCGTTTTTTACAAAAGACCCTTTTAATAAATATTTTTATATTTTAAGATTGATTCTAGTAAAAGTTAATTTTTGCTCCAACAAGCCCCAAACTCCAGGCTTGTAGATTATATTGGTTTATTAAGTCTCCTATAGGATAATTGTTATTATCAATAATACACCATTTGTATATAAATAATTCATAAAAAATTTCAAAATGTGATATTTTATTTTAAAAAATGTTTAAGTTTTAATTTTTTTTCTAATTCCTTTGATTATCAACCACCAGAAAAGGGGAAAAAATAGAATTTAAAGCTATAATAGCCAATGAATACTTATTATATCATATTTTTAAGCATAATATAATTAATTCAACCTAATTCTACTAGCCCCTAGTTACTGATTTGATTAACCCTTTCCAGTGCTAAAAAAATATGTTGATAATTTTTAAATTTTTTTAAATAAGATTAGATGAAGGGGAACATTGGATTGAGACCTTTATCTTATTAAATCTTTTGTAATCGTCAAAATTATTAATTTTATAGCTTTATTGTTAAATATAAAAATAATAAATGCCAACTCCTGTTTCAAATATAAATCTTAAAATGATAAAAAATATATTTAATTATATATTTTGGTGGTTTCAATAGAGATGATATGTGAATTTAGTTCAAATTTAATATTTTGTAAGTTATTTTCAAATCATATTATTCTGCCTGAAAGGGAATGCCTACAATAAATATTTTTAAACATAATGATTATGAGACTTTCTGAAATGGGAAAAGAAGATTTTTTAATTTCATATTCTGTCTATTTAATTATTTCTAAATCTCACTGTGCAAATTGGTTTATTATTCATGATACTGTTAAACAATTTCAACTTTAAGAGAGACAGAAGGCCACAAATACATATTTTTATGCCGTTTAATATTATAGTGAAAAACATTTTAATTATGCTTTAATATTATTTACTTATCTTAAATTTCGTATAAAACAATTTATAAAATACAGAGAAAATATTCAAAATAACAAAATTTGAAAATTTAGGGCAGGGCTTTAAATAATCAGAGCTAAAAAATGCAGACCGAAGAACACAGGTATATTAATTTACGACATTTATATTATTTATTTTATTACTAATTATGACATTGAAATATGTTAAATTCAATTTTGTCTGTACTGTAAAAAATAGCTAAATATTAATAAAAGTATAAATTTTTTTGGCTTTGATAAAGCTATCCTTTCAAAAATAACCCAGCGGCTGAAATAATATTTTTCTATTAAAATCTTTAGACATTTTTGGAATTTTATCTTATCTTATCTAGCACGTTGGTCATGGACCTGCCCAAAATGAGCGAACGTGAATTACTATAGAGGCCCTATCCTCCATAATAATTATGCCGATTTTTTCCTCAAGGATACCAACAAACCTTGTAATCCAGATATAATTATTAAGAGGAGTGGAACTCACCCAATCCAATAATAATAATAGCGTAGGGAATAAGATTATGAGCATATTTAAAAGGAAAAAATAGTAGTACTGTATCATCCAATACAAATTATTAGTCATTAGTTAATTATCTAAAATTATTTTTTTATAGTTAGTCTTAATTTTTATTATGATTATTAAATTTTATTTAGTTTATTTACGATTTATTCCCAATTATTTAGTTAGAAGATATAATTATATTATTTTTTATAATTATTTAGTTAAAAATATCTATCTATTTAATCTATTAGACCTAAATCTCATAATGTAATGTAATCTATTAGAATTTATCTTACAATGTGCATTAATTTAATCTGCCTTCATTTACTATAGCCCTATTCAAATAACTTCAACTCTTAGATATATATCAAAGCAATATATGAAATTGTATTTTTAAGTAATAAAATAAAATAACTTTACTTACTCAACTTTACTTGTTATATATCAAAGTAATATATGGAATTGTATTTTTAAATAATAAACTAAATTTAATTTAATCATCTTTACTTGTTACATTCTCAGCAGTTATTCGTCAAGTGTTCGTAAATAAGTCTTAATACGATTTTGTAAGTTTTTCTATCTAACGAAGCACGTTTTATGAATTCCCAAGATAGATCTATGTCCGATAATGATCGATTTATTCTACCAAACCAACTATTTTTGTAGGATAGGAAAGGTTTGAGAGATAATTCTTCCAAAGGGGTAATAAAAAGGGCTTGATATACTAGGTTGTTTGGGGCTTGTCTGAGAATGTGCCCTAATATTTCGATTTTCCTATATTCACATGGTCTATATATAGGGAGAATGTCACATCTGGACCAAAGATTATGATTCGAAGTATTATACGGGTAGAAAGTTTTGGTAATATATCTAAGACATTTGTTAATGAACGTTTGCATCTTTTTACTTTCTTGTTTGGTATCTTTCCAAGTTTCTATACCATAGATTAAGGAGGGGAATATTAAAGTTTTAAATAATCGAATCTTTAACGGAATTGATAATTGATTCGAACTCCATATTTTCATAAAAGATCTATATTTCAGTCTGCCTTTATTTATTTTAGCTATTAGGTCTAGTTTAGTATTTCCTTTTCTATTCAGTATCACTCCTAGATATTTTAATTGTTGAACTTCTGCTATTTTTCTCACTTGTATCGTTAGATTCATGTTTGGAGGGGAGAATATTGATGTCATCAACTTTGTTTTATCAATATTTATTTTTAAACCAAAAAAATCAGCAACTTGGGTCATCATGTCCACTAGCAATTGGAGGTGTGATATAGAATCTCCTATAATGCAAATATCATCGGCAAAAGCAAGAATATTAAATTTTACGATGGGAATCTGAGCTAAACATTGTTTAGTCACTCTTTTTATGATATAGTTTGTAATAAAATTAAAAAGAAGAGGAGAAAGGACACATCCCTGTTTCAAACCTATCTTAACTGGTATTTTTGTTGATTTATGACCCGCATGGATAATTTGTATCGAGTAATCATTATAGATATTTTTTAATATTTTTACCAAAGAAGTTGGAGTATTAACTTCTTCTAATGCTATCCATAACCTATCATGAATAATCGTATCAAAAGCTTTCCTAAAATCCAGAGCTATAATTATTAATTGCCTTTTTCGTATTATAGATTTCTCTATTTGTATCTTTAAGTTGAGAATAGCCTCAAGAGCATTATGCCCCTTTCTAAATGAAACTATTGAATCCACATAATCTCGTTCTATAAAAGGTTTGAGTCGATTTAGGATTATGTTAGTGAAAATCTTATAAATTATAGAATTTAGTGAGATTCCTCTCCAATCCTCTAGAGTTTTAGGGTACTTAGTTTTTGGAAAATTAATTAGGGTAGCCGATAGCCAATCACTAGGGCAGATCCCTTCCTTCCATACTCTCGATATGATAGGGAATAGTATATCGGCGGATAATATAGGGTCCGTTTTTAAATATTCACTACGAATATTATCTTGACCACACGCCTTGTGATTTTTTAGTTTCTTTATTATATTTATTATTTCACTCTTGATAGGATCTATGATTCTATCTGTATTTTGGAATAAGGTAGAGAGGGAAGAATGTGTAGATAAAGATGTAGTATTATGAGTATTATCTTGTGGGAGAAATAATTGTGGGGGCCAGAGGTACGAAGTGGATGGACCATGATGAATGCAAGACTCACTTTGGTTTGGTAAATGTAATAATTTAGATGGCAAGAGATTATAGGAAGAAGAGTTTTGAGGGCATAGATCAGAAGGCCATTTAGGAGGGTTCTGGAGTAATTGCACCTGAGGAGGCCAGGAGTTTGAGGAAGATGCATTTTGGTCAATGGGAGATTCTAAATTTGAGTTGTACGTAGAATTAGATAAAAAATTTGAGATATAAGAATTTTGAGCGGGAAGGAGTTGGGCCAAGGTTTAGCAGATTTGGAAGCCAGAAACTTGAGGTAGATGGACTTTGATCAATGGGAGATATTACTATTTGGTTATTTGATGTAGAGGAGGGATCGTTGCAATTATTTGATGTAGAGGAGGGTTCGTTGCTATTAAATATTTTAGAGTAATGTGAAACCCATATTTCCATTTGTATCTCTGGATCTGTAATTTCTTTTGAGTTGTGACTAAGTTTAAAAAATTGCTCTTTTTTGAAAGAAGTGAAGGATTTCAATAATTTAAAAGCTTTATATGAATCATTTGCACTGAACGAATTACTTATCTCAGTGGCACGATCCTCAAGGAATTTCCTCTTATCTCTTCTGAGTTTATGACTTATATCGTTTAGGATATACATGGCTCTGTTTCTCCTATAATGACCACTCCCCACTAGATTTGAAATAAGATTTTTTGATTCTATTGAGATCCAGTCCGGATAATTCATCTTGGCTGGTAAGGAATTTGATGCCGCATTGTTGAAAATGTCACGGGTATTTTCCCATAGTGTGTCCGAGGATAAGTTGTTAGTATGATCGATAAATTTATGAGAATTATTTCTGATTTGTTTTATATATTCTGTTTTGATATTGTGATCATTTAAAGCCTCGATATCTAATTTGGGACGTTTCGAAAGTGACTTTCCGTTTCTTTTCTTCTTCATATGCCATATCTTCGGGTCTATTACCATAGAGCAATCTATAATTTTATGGTCAGAGTTAAATAAAACCTGATGAAGAACTTTAATATTTTTTATCCAACTCATAGTCGACCTATTACAAATAAAATAGTCTATTTGAGACCAAGTATTGTAAGTTGGGCTAAAATATGTGTATATCTCTCTTTTATCCGAATGTTCGAAGAAAGTATTAGCTATTCGAAGATCTAACTTATGACAGAGTTTTAATAGTAGTTTTCCTCCAATATCGGATTTAATATTTAGTGTTCCTGAACCAAGGGAAATATGATTCTTTATATCAATTTTTCCTACTTTCGCATTAAAATCCCCAGCAATTAGTAAGTTTTCGCGTTTCGGAAATTTATTTAGATATTCGTCAAGAAAAATGAAGAATGGTTGTTTTTCAGTATAGTTCACTGGTATATAAATATTTACAATATTTAAGGTTTTACATCTCATATTTACTTTTATGCTACATACCCTACTATTTACGCCATCGAATTTTGAGATGTAGCCCGATAGATTCTTTTTGATCAATATACAAACTCCACACCAGTTTTTTTCAGTTTCGCCCGAGTTAAAGAGTAGGTAACCTTTGCAATTAATTTTACAAGTATCAATCCAATGTGTTTCTTGTATACAAGCAATGTCAACCGCTAGGGTATCTAATATTATTCTTAGTTGGGCAAATTTATTATTATTTAGGGATCTAGCATTTAGGGATATAATTCTTAGAGAACCAGAAAAATTGTTCATTGTAATGTTAGTAAATTTATTTAGTAATTAAAAATTAGAGAAATAATTTATATTACTAGATTAAAAATTTATTTAACGATTTATAAAACAAGATATCGGACAATATATATTATCAAGATTTCACTATATAAAATAAAGTTTTTCAGACAATTTATTTAACGATTTATAAAACACGATGTCGACAATATATATTATCAAGACTTCACTATATAAAATAAAGTTTTTCAGACAACTTATATCACTATTTATCAAAGCAATTTTTTTGACAGCTTATTACTACAATTAAATAGATTTTTTATCAAGATTTCTCTATAAAAAAAACGGAATTTGAATTATCATAACAATTTCCGACAGCTACAACAATATAATATTTCCAAGAATTTTTCCCTATTTCGTCTATTAATATCAGTTTTAGATATTAGTATTACAACGATATAATATCAAATTTGAGACAGGTTTCAACAGCACTAAAAGTGAGTAATAATAGAATTAATAAATCATACGAGAGAAAAAACTTGTAAATATAATAGATTTTTTTTATCAAGATTTCTCTATAGAAAAAAAAAATGGAATTTAAATTATCAAACAATTTCCGACAGCTACAACAATATAATATTTTCAAGATTTTTTCCCATTTCGTCTATTAATGTCAGTTTTAGATATTAATATTTCACGATATAATGAGACAAGTTTCAACAGCACTAAAAGTGAGTAATAATAGAAGAAAATCATAAATCATACGAGAGAAAAAACTTGTAAATCTGTTGTATATATAAGAATTGATAAAAGTAATTAATCTTTTGAGAAAGTTTCGAGAATTTTAACGATATACTAGGAATAATTATAATTTAAAAGTTATAATAGTATATAAATTAACAGAAGATAAAATTAAAGAAAATAATAATATATATAAAATAAAATAAAAAATAAATAAAAAATAAAATATAAAAATCTAGGAATAATTGTAATTTAAAAGTTTGACGTTACATATAGTATATAAATTAATAGTATTTAAATTAACCGAAGATAAAATTAAAGAAAATAATAATATATATAAAATAAATAAAATAAAATTATTATCCGATTTATTTTGTTAAAATATAAAATATACATTTTGTTTTATAAAAGAAAAGAAAAAACAAATGTTATTTAAAAAGTTTAAATAGAGATTATCAAATTTAATAAATCATCGTATTATCCAAAGAGTTAACATAGTGATTACCTTATCATCGTATTATCCAAAGAGTTAACATAGTGATTACCTTAAATAGTGATTCTAAAAATTACTTAGTATGAATTTTTGTTAAAAAACAAATGTTATTTAGGATAAAAATAAAGTTATTACCAAACTATAATTTACTACTGGCACCTTACTTTAAAAAGATGAAATGTGCAATAATTTTTTTTCAATTTTTTTAAAGATTTATATAAGTTAATTGATGATACTACGAAATAAGATTTATAAATAGATTACATGACTTGTTTATTAACTCATATTTTGTTATATTTTATTACTCTAAAATAATAATTTAATTTTTTTTAAATTCTGGAACCCTAACTGAGGGATCTAGACTAGTGCTTGAGATCTAACTCGTTATATTAAAATTTATTAATGTTTACAGCCCTTAATATTTTTGATTAGTAATTTTTTTAAATCTCACTTTCGCGTTTCAATTTGTATATAGAATTTAATTTTATTTATAAAACTCTTCATATATTATTAAAGATCAATTCACTATATTGCCACAATATACAAATGGTGTATTATTGATAATAACAATTATCCTATAGGAGACTTAATAAACCAATATAATATACAAACCTGGGGTTTGGGGCTTGTTGGGGCAAAAATTAACTTTTACTAGAATCAATCTTAAAATATAAAATATTAAAAATATTTATTAACGTATAACTTAAGTTAAGTGTTTGTTGGGCTATCTCATGGTATTTAATAAATTCAATTATAAATTGTCAAGATTATGATGATATTGACAAAAACGACTACTAGCCCTATTCCTACTATTGGAAGAAAGTTGATAATGAGATCAAAAATTTTGATTATTTACCGGGCGGCTAAAAATCATCGCGTTTTGAAATCTTATTAACTCCGAAACGTGTCATTCGTTTTTTATGAAATCTCCTGTCTTAATATTCTCAAAATATATAATTTAAAGTGGTTTTTAGAAAATTAAGATAAAAAAAATGTAGTCGTACTATATTTTTAAAGATTTCCTTTAATTCATAAACTATAACATAAAAACAAAATATTTTAAATTTTATAAAGTGGCTTTTAGAAAATTAAGATAAAAAAATGTAGTCGGACATATATATTTTTAAAGATTTCTTCAAATTCATAAACTATAACATAAAATATTTTGGCATTATTAAACAAATCTCATTATTAAATACCACTAACAATATAAACATACGTTAATTTTTCTAAATTATGTATTTTATCAAAGATCTGATAATGATGAAATTTTGACATGAGAATAAAAATTGGAATCAAGTTTAATTCCTGAATTCTCTAAGAAAAAGTGGAATATTAATCCAGTTCACCAAGCTAACCCCATGGTTATCATATAACTCATCAATCTCCTTTTGTTTTTCAACTAAGATTTTATCAAGCAAAACCATAGATTCGTAATACGAATTTCACTAGAATTTATCAGATACCTACCCAATTTCTTGATGTTACCTGTCATATTAATAGACATTTTTTGTTTATTTCACAAAGTAAGACTTTTGGAAAGAACTTTGTGATATTATTTTATGTTATCAGCTAAAGCTAAAAAGTTTCTGATGCCCATAATTAGGGGAGACCGGTGTTATAATGAACCCAGGGTTATAGTGAGAGTGGCTTTATTTTCTAGAGTATTAAACTCTAAGAGATAATTTTTACCAAAACTATATACTTATATATTGCATATGCGGCTATAATTTTTATTTCTATCAAACCGCTTGAAGAATTTTTATAATGCTTTATATCATTCGTACCTTCAAAAGTAACTTTTTACACTTTTACTATTTTTCAAAAATAAAGATTAATATACAATTTTACCACACAAAAATCATCTTATATAAAAGAAAAAATCCTATTTTATAGAATAACAATTTACCCGAACAAAATTGATATAAATACTTCAAAATATGATCTTAATCAAAGTGGTGCTACTGGGGCTATTTTTATGGTGCTAGGTAGAACCTTTTTTTTTGCTATTTTTTAAAAATTTGACATGCAAAAAAAAGTCAAGGAGAGACCAACTAAAAGAAAAAAAATCGAAAAATGTTATTATATGATAAATAATTGTTTGGTATACAAATAAATTATATCAAGCATAACAATCAAGACTGCTTTCAATGTCAGTTATTAGTTACATGGCTTTGCAATTTTATTGTTTTTTTATTTGCAAAGATTGTGAATGTTTTAAATGATTTTATATAACACTTTTATGTTTTAAACCATTAAATATATCTTAATAAAAAAATATATAACTTTTATATATGGAAAATTAAGCAGAGTTTATAATAGCCTCGACCAAGCGCTTGTTCGTCACCCGGTAGGGTTCACTCGGTTACCAAAATAAATTCCAGGAAAAAGGATATTTTGAAAAAATTATTAGAGATGTATTTTTGTAATTTAAACATATCATAAAACTAATAGAGCTGAACAAAATGAGATATTTTTTATTAAAAATGATAAAGTACTTATAATTTTCTTAAGGTTTGCCTTTATGGTTCGCCATAACCCCGTTCTCCCCTACAAGTTTTCAATAAATTAAAAAGAAAAAACTTGATGTTTAATATTTAAAATGATTAGATGAAAAAGAGAAATCTATTTTATTACTTAGAATCTTTTTTATATATTTTGAGTCAAAAAAAAGAAAAGCCTTTTTCAATAAAAAAATGTTTTTAGAGCCAATCCCCATTTTAACTTAATTTTCAGATTCAACTAAGTCGAAAAGTCGATAAATATAAAATTGTAACTTTCATGAAACTCCATTCGCGATATGATAATATTTTGAGCTCGGCTAATTACAATATTAAATTTGTTAAATTTGAAATAATATGTGATTATATTTATTTAATTATGGTTATATAATAATTTAAATAATAAAAGTCAATTAAACTTCAACTGTTAAAGCTTAATTAATATTTAGTGAGTTATTGATATTATATTTTTAATACAGAATTTGATTGCAAGCTGACATAGTGAAAATATAATTTATATGTATAATCTAAACTAATAATTAAAATAGTATTCATTTAATAAAAATTTAAATAATCTTATTAATTTCTAAATAATAAAATTAAATCTATATATTACTTAATGGAATTATAAAAGAAATCATTCAAGGAGCTATCAAAAAAATTCATTTTTAGTTCAAGTGGATATTAAGGAGCCATTAAAAAAATTTTTTTTTGCTTCAGGGGGCTCTTCAAATTTTTCAGAGGGCTCGAGCCCCTGCGCCCCCCCCCCTCCCTAGCGACGCCATTGACATATTTTAAATTTATGGACTACAATTTCTTCTATATTCAATTTTATTTATTTGTATAAAATAATTTTGGATAAATTTGATTAATATAATAAAAACATTTTATTTATAATTTTAATAAAATTGATAGGCTATAAAATAAAAATAAATTTTACCTGTCAATACTCAGCTTACCTGTCAATTCTCAGTTTAGTTACACCGCGAGATAGGTGTTATAAGATATGAAAAAAAATAATTATATTGGCACTCAAAATATAAATATTAAACTTGAAAATATAGAACAAAATATATTGCCAGTTACTAATATATATGGGGAGAATTTTGATAACACTCATCCAATCTTAAGAAATCTCTATCAAAATCAAATTCGAGAATCTGAAAATCATCGAAGATTACAAACACCATCCATATCTTCTGGTACATTAATTAACAAGTAAACTTTATTATAGTTGTAATAAGAATATTTTTATAAACAATTAAATTATTTTTTAGGGATTTAATATTACAATAATTTTTATAAAATATTAGGAGAACATTTGCAAATTTTAAAGATAAATTAAATAGTTGCTATAAAAATTATTATTTACAAAAAAATAAGATATTAGTGTATTGAGCTAACTTATATTTACATAGGTAAATCTTACAAATTATAATTTAATAGATTTTATTTCCTATTCAGACATTAGCCTAAGCCCAAAAAAACTAATGTTATAGTCTATAATTTTTTTTTTTAATTTTTTTATATTAATGTTATATTCAAATACTTCTTAATATATTTGTAAATAATTAAGTGGTGAACTCTGAATTTATCTTTAAAAGATAAATAATAGTTATTTATCATACAACAGTTTTGGCAATTTAAATTCTTAAAATAATTATACCATTCTAATTATGGACATTTTATTACAATGATTTTTTGATATACAAATTAAAATCCATATCTGTTCTTTATAAACTTTAAAGAAAAATTTATATCTTCTACCAATAATAGATAATTTATTTAAGAATACCTAATTTATTATAGTTTATGTATATTTGGTTAAATTATTCAATTGGGTCTATAAATTATTAGTTTTAGTTATTTAACTTGTACTTCCATATATAAAAATATAGAATTAAATAAAATAATTTAGGATATATAATTAATATAAATTTTGCATCATAATTTGTTTACATTTAAAGAAAGCATTCCATGTCAAGGTAGAGTAATTAGTTTTGTTAAATGGCACAGTTTTTGAAATGGCTAGCGAAATATTTTAGCCAAAAAAATAATATACAACTTTGAGATTTTGTTTATAGGCATCTATTAATAAAATATCAAGGCTTGCATAATATTGCTTAGCAAAAATATTGGGTTAGCTTTTTTAAATCAAGCCATTTAACAACACTAAAAGCAGGATTGTATATTTGAATAGACAAATACGATTTGGTCACATGATATTTGACGGCTCAAATATGTAGTGTTGTTAAAAGTTACTTTTGAAATTTAACTAGCTACAATTACTAATTAATCCATAAGAAGATAACTCTGCAATTTACTATATAAAAATATAATCACACTGAAAAAAAATACCGGTGAATAGAATATATTTACACTGATGTATATCAAGATATCATTTATTTGCCCTTATTTTTTATTCATAATTCGGGCTTAATACACTTTTATTTACATTTAACAAACTATTTTTATATTTTCTGTCTATAGGGCATGCTCAGCCCTGTCGAAAAATAAGTTTCCCTAGACTGAACAAACGTTATTGGCGAGCTCTTAGTGTGAGGATAGAATTATATTTAATAATAGAAAAATTTAATTTCCTTTTAATTAGTTCATTTGCTAGCCTTAGATTTATTTTGTAAATTCCACAAATGTTAGCTTTATGATATGGTAATTAACCGATTTTTTAAAAAGATCGAATCCCTATCACGATCTTTTCAAAAAAAGAGGATCGAGATCCAGGATCGACCTTTTTTTAAAAAAAGATCGCGATCACGATTTTTTTTTCTATTCAAATTTCTGAAGGAAATTTCTGACCAATGCAAAATTAACTAATATATGTTATAAATTTATTGTAACTGAATAATAATATAATATAACCGATGCAAAATTAACTAATATAAAAATAAATTAAATATGGTAGAAATTTATTGTAATTGAATAATAAATATAACAATTATAATATATTTATTTATAATTAAAATTAGCTTTTAATAATAAAATTTTTTCTAAATTATCATCATTTAAACATCCGCATCTTTCATTTAGAACATGTTTAGCTTTACTAAACAAGTGCTCCACAGGAGCGCTTGAAGGCAAAGGTGTATTTTTATTCAGTAAATATTTTTTTTAAATTAATATAAGTATTAAAAATATTCATGGAATCATCATTTGAATAAAAAATTTTTTAACGGAACAAGCATTTTATACAGTATTTTTCCCAAAAAAGCATCAATGTCATCCATACATTCATTTGAGGTATTCACATATGGTTGTTCCTGCATATTTTCCAAATGGGCAACTAATCTTTCGTGTTGGCAGATTAATATAAGGCCAATTAAATTTAAATTTAGGGTGAATCATGGCTGCCAAAATGTTAATGTCTTCATACAGTGAAGAAAATCTATATTATGAAATGATAATTAATTTATTATTAAATAAGTGTTCATTTTATTCATATAAATCAAATCAAGTATCTGCAAAACTTAACCCTTTTAAATTTTACAGTCAAGTCTGGCACATCATCTGTATGGTAATTTGGGTCATATCATAAATATTGATTAAATGTAAACTTAATACTTAATATACAAAGAAATTAACATTGTAATTTATTTACAAAGAATATTAATCAAAATATTAGCTTAAAATTCAAATAATCTAATAAATTTTTAATGTCTTCAAAGGCCCATTAATATTTTACTAGATATCAGAGGTTTAGTAGAACTGGCCTGTTAAAAATATTTTACTAAATTTGCCAGATCTTTGCAATTTTTTAATATATTTTGCAGATATCTGAGAATATAAAATAATTGCATAAAAAAATATTACCTTTTATCAATACCTCTAAGAACACTATCTACAAGGGGCTGACAATACCGCAGGCAGCTAAATTTCGTTAATTTATCTATCAATATCGATAGAACGGGAGTTAGATATCCCTGTTCCATATTATCCTCCCATTCCAAGATTTTTAACGAGATCGCCAAAGGTTCCATAACCTATAAAATTTAAATTTATTTAGAGAATATCATTGTATTACTGTTGCATACTCTTTAACAAAAAAACATTCCTCTTGCCTAAACATTGCAAATCCAATTTGATCACATACTTGTTCTACTTCTGAAGATGAAAACTTTTCAGAAAGCATCTTATCTATTAATTTCATGGATTGGTAATAAGAATTCCATCTTGTCTTGTTGGGAGCTATTAAATATCTTCCCAACTTCTCCAATAAAATATCTGCCATTTTTTGTTTATTAACTAAAGCAAAACATTTTGCAAAAGTGGATCTAGATATTCGTTTATAATTGAGATCACTATCTGCCATCTCCGCATCTGTTGTTACAATAAGGTTAAGATAATGGCAACAGAGTTGTTAAACGCTATTTTTAAAAGTAGCGCGCTACCGTAATAGCTATTTGTCAAAAAAAGTAGCGCGCTACCGCTTTCGCTATTTGTCAAAAAAAGTAGCGCGCTATTAGCTACTTTTTTTCAAAAGTAGCTTTAGCTACTTTTAAGCTACTTTTTATAAAAAAAAATTTAGAAACAAATGAAACAAATTTTTTTTATTTTTTTTTCTTATAATGTAAATGTATAATAAATAATATATAAAAATCAACATTTATAAATATAAAAATATAGTTAGTTTAGATTATAAAAAAATAAGTAATATAAATAAATATTTATTTTAATTTGTTGCATTTTAATAATAATATCATTTCAATATTATCATCCCCAAGTCTAGAGCGACGATCAGAAAGTATAAGCTTTGCATTACTAAATAATCTCTCGACACTAGCACTTGAGGGCAAGGGGGTATTAAATTTTATATATAAATTTTTAATATATGAAAAATTATCAAAAATATTCATTTCAATATTTTTTGATTGAAAAAAAATATCAATTGAATTTTCTATTAAATCATCTTTAATTTCAAAAAACAGATCTTCTTTTTAAAGTCCTAGGGTCTAACCAATGGCCTGTGATTCCCAAATAAGCTCTAAAAATATTTAATCAGATCAATTTATAAATATAAATAAGTTTTTACCTTCTGTTATGTGTCCAACTATCTGCTATGGTACATACATAAGATATATCTGATAACTCTACTATTAGAGCATCTTTCATCACTTTGAAGTTGTCGGCTATTTTATTCATAAGTGTCTGGCGACATAAACTGTTGTGCCAGGGGATAAAGTTTTAATCATAAGAGTAAATGATGGATTATCAACCAAAGACACTGGCTGAACTGTGTCAATAATAAAATCAACAATAACTTTATCAGCCAATTTTTGTGAAATATTGGCATGTTTATTATCCGTTAATTTGGTTTGGATAGTATTTGTCTTTTTGAATGAAGATTCTCCTATACCAAAATTTTTTATATGTTTCTCTATTTCCTTATAGCAATTGGCGTGAACAGTCTAATAAAATAAATATTATTATAATGTAAAAATAACAATTTACCTTTAGGTGTTTCTTCAGGTTATAGCTATTCGATTGATTTGATGATATATTTTTTTTACATTTTAAGCACATGAATTTGAATCCAGATTTTGTTTTAATATTTATTTTAAAAAATTTTTCAAATTTAGGGAATGGAAAAACGTTATTAGAGCTATTAAGTACATTTTCTTCCATTGAATTTTCCATATCTGAATCACTTTCAAGGATTTGGATATCCATGGACGATGCCATTTTAGATTATTAACACAGATTGAAAATATAAATTAAAAATTGAAAACATATTTAAATTTCAAAATTAAATAATAAATTATAATTAATTATGATATTATATTTAAATTTTTATGTTTATACTTACATTCATTATATTTTTAAAAGTAGCGAAGTAGCGCGCTAAAAAATTAAATAATTTTAAAAAAGTAGCGGCTATTAGCTATAGCTACCAAAAAAGATAGCGCGCTATTAACAACTCTGAATGGCAACAACAACGTTGATGTTTTGGTAGGCTGATAGTAGGAATAATTGGGTCATCAACGGATAATATGTCATCCAAATTTATCAATTCCATATCCTCACTACTATCTTCTTCATTTTCTCCAAAAACTCTAGAAAAAATAAATTTATTTAAATATTTTTTGCTAAATATAAATATTACTTAAATGCCTTGACAAAGTTGGTTACATTGTCAGTCACCATCTTCACCACCTTATTATGAATTTTATAAAACTTGTGGATACCCATGATTTCGTTGGCCAAAACATCATATGTTTGCCAAAGCGGCTGACCTTCTCTCGAGGGTTAACAGACCCAGCCAATGTGCAGTAAGTCCAATAAAAGCCCTAATAAAATAAACATTATAAAATTCATATAAATATAATATACCTTCGATGACCACTCCAACAATCAGCAGTGGTGCAACATAAGAAACTTCAGACAAATCTCTTATAAGATTTGTCGTCATATAAGAGAAGGAAGTAGATATCCTGTTGCCCAGTGTTTGGCGACAAATAATTTTTGTCGCATGAGGAAAAGTTTTAATCATTTTTTCAAATTAAGGATCATCAACGAGAGACAGTGGTTGGAAGGTGTTAATAATAAAATCCATGATAACCTTGTCTGTTGTTTTTTGCGATACAGCTGGAATGTTTAGATTGTTAAAATTTAATTTAGATTGTCTGGATTTGCAACCAGAACCACTTTGGTTTTGCAGTGATATATTTTTTTGTGTAGAGAATTCGTTGAGGTGTTTGGTAATCTCATTTTTAAATTCACTGTGCTTTTTCTTTATAAAAGAAAAAAATAGTATGTATCAAAGTTGGATGAAAATAACTTCTCCTGAATCAAATTTCATTTTTTGAATTTTATATGGAAATTTAAAGTTAAAAAAAACAATGTACAGGCTGAATGTAAAACCTATATAAACAAAAAAATGATAAAGGGTTCAACACAATTGTTAAACATATTAAAGTATATTATTTAATTTATGTTAAAAAATGTTCATATAGGTTATTTTAAATTTTAAGTAATATTGTCTTTGTCTATCATTATTAAAAGTTGCCCAAGATAATATGGGCTAAAGATTTTGATAAAATATTTTCCTATATATGAATATAATTAGCCTTTTTGGTATTTAAGAACTATGGATTAAGGGTTCAACAAATTTTGTTAAACATATTAAAGTATGTTTTATTAGTGGTTAAAAGGGGGTAGGTTATCTTAAAAATTTAAGTTTACAATATTGTCTATCATTATTAAAAGTTTCCCAAGATGATATGGGCCAAAGATTTTGAAAAGTATTTTCCTATTATGAATATAATGAGGCTTTTTGGCATTTAAGAACTTATGGATTGAGTCAAATGATACAAAAAATACTTTCAATTCAAAATATATTGTTAAAAAAAGCCCTAAAAATGTTTCAAGAGGATTATATAATCAAGCTCAAACTGAAACTATAATACTAATTAATTAGATTTAACATATTATAATAAAGAAATAATAGAATAGATATTTATTTTTCTTTTGGTGAAACATTGCTAAGTTCAATACAAATAACATTGAACTGGATGTTTTAATTATATTAAAGAAAGTCAAAATACATTATAAAGGCTTAATTATTAGTTATTACACTTCCATTTATTATAAATACTCTTCTTTTGAAAATTAAACTAATATAATAGTAATATTAAAAAATAAATGCCTAATTATTATATATAAATACAAAACCAAGATTAACTCTTCATCAAATATTTTATTAATTATACTGTATCTAATAATTCATTTTTTTTATAAAGAATCTGTATCTAGATTCTATTTCTGTAGGACCTGCTCAACTCAGGAATGTAATAAATTAAATTTAAACATGTTGACATTAAAATTATCAAATAAAAAAAATTTAAAAGAATTACTTGTAAATGTCTCTTTAAGTTCGAGGATGATATTTTGGAAGATGATATTATCTTCTTACAGAGATGGCATTTGGTGCTGATCATAATTATAAGAGTTGCTTTCATCCATTTCACATAAAGTAAAATACTTACGTAATTTCAAAAATGGTAAAAGATTCTCATTCTCACTTATATCTGCTGTTACATCAATAGTAGAAGCAATAGAATCTTCTAAATCTATAATCGACATTTACATTTACCTATTAAAATAAATATTAATATATTATTATAAATTTATTTTTATATAACTTGTAAGAGCTCTAAATCTCGTAAAATCTAGGAAATGAATAAATATATCTATAAAATAAATGGTGGAATGGAAGTTGATAATGGAAGTTGATAAAATATGAAGATATATATTTTTTTTAAAAATAATATTTTAATTTAATTTTCAAAATTTTTATTTTATTTATTGCTTTTAAGTAAAAAATTAATTTTTAAAAAGATCGGGATCGAATTTTAAACAAAATGATCTCGATCCTCAATTTAAGTCAGAATCATAAATCTCGTAAAATTGACAAATTTGCGATCGAATCCAGGATCGTCGATCTTTTGATTCGATCTTTTAACAACTCTGGGTAATTATATATGCTTTCTTATAATTGGAACACAATTATTTCTATAATGAATCAAGGTGCCCTTACATGAAAGATTTGATGGTCAAATCGATATCCACCATCGCTTCTTCTTCCCATGGCAAATATGGTTATGTTTCTACGAGTTATTTTACCCCTTCCATTTGTTATCATTGCAACCCATTTCACAATGTTCATCAAAAGTGCGACCCCTCGCCTGGATATCACACTTTCAATGCGACTCTGCTCAACAGATATTCTCCTAACTTGCTTCCACTTACTTCTAACTCCTCGAGGAGACCTTGGGATCAGCATTACGTTACAAATCCCAACATTTTTCAAACGTCAATTCATACTAACTCTTCCAAGGAAGGCTTTAGGAATTATAGAAATCACGAGTCTAACTTTACTGCCATGTATATTTTTATTCATCTTTTACCCTAAAAATTTGAATATATAATGTATATGTTAGCGTCAATGCTGTTATTTTTACTACTTAAAATCATTTTTTGAGTGCGTTTTTAAAAATTTAACAATCTGATTTTACCGGAAATGTATGACGTCATGTTTGGAAAACCTATCCTGCGAATTTCAGACAATTTTTCCATTAACTTTTTAACTTAATATAATTTATATTAAATTTTCCATATATTTTTTATATAAAGTATAAATGACTCAAAGGTTAACGGCATTATTATCTACAATTCATAAGATAGGCATTCCAAACATGATAGAATATTATTCCGGTAGAATCCGATTTTTAAATTTAAAAAAACGCGCTCACAAAATGATTTAAAGTTATAAAACACATTGACGCTAACATATATATTATGTTTAATTTGCTTATTCAATACTGTCTGCAGTATTATTTATTAAGTTTAAATATTTTGAAATTAAATTATATCGATTATTAACTAGGACTGTGCCGATCCACAAATATTTCACCGATTGGATCTGATATTATCAAAAAACCGATCCGATATTTATTTATCATAATCAATATTATCTATATTTTAAAAAAACCAACTAATTTTCACTTAATATAAAAAAAACGTAAAATAAAATTATGTCAAAATGTATCTATATATCGATGCAGATATATTTATATTTAGATACAAATACCACATTTTTGTATTAAAATACTTTAAAAACTCTGGTAATTATGTTCATTTGCTACCATTTATTATTATAAAATATATTAATTACATTATTCATAAAGTCGTCCACTAAATATTTTTAAATAAATGAATTTAAAAATTATTTATTATTTTCAATTATAGGCTATTTAAAAGTTTACATTTATTACTTTATATTCTTGAAGTTTTAGAAATTAAAATTTATATAAATAGTGCTTAGTAGAATTGTAAAAAAAGTAAATTGACATCAATAGATTTTTTTTAAAAATATTTTATAAACATTTCTTTTAAGGCACTATGTATTTAAAGGTGAAAAATATGAGTGAGCATTTATAATTGAATATAAGTCGAACATGTATTCAAATAAGCAGTCAGCAAAACCGGGTAATTGGAACTCTGACCTCTTGGAACTCAAAAAAATCAAAAAGTCTATTAAATATATATCCCTATAAATTTTTTCATTTTATTTCTCTAATCTTTAGTGTTTTTGGGACCCCTATGCCTAAAATTCTTAAATCTATTAAGCAAAAATATCGTAAAACGAATTTCTTTTCCTAAAGTAAAAATTAATTTCAAAATTCTAGTAGGGAATTACAAGGCTTGCTTGAAACACTTTCTTTTCCCTCTTATCTTAGTCTTCACAATACACATTAAAACTTGGGAATTGATATAATGTATATTAGAGTTTTGCAAACCCGCCGGCCGGTACGGGGAAATTTTTTAAAGAATTAAAATGGGGAAGACCGGGCAAAAAGTTTAACGGGCCGGACTTAAATGTATATAATTTTTTGGGCTTTGCTGGGCCCGACAATTTATACATAAAGTAAGGGCATCTCAAATCTCTAATTTTTCATTAAATTTTAAAAGGCCGGCTTGGGCATTAAAATTTTGATATTTTTTTTTGAATTCAAGCTAATATTTTGATTAATACTATTTGAAAATAAATTATCGCCGAGGTGGCTTAGTGGTATATGATGTATGCCTGTAAACCGAAGGTCCCGGGTTCAATCCTGGTAAGGAGCTAAAAATTTTCGGGTATTTCTTCGATGACGGATGTGTACAGACATATGATAAGATGATTTTCTGAGCTGAGAAATGCCACCCCGGTCACCGACAGGCTTTTACAGCCGGGTGCTAGGATACTTGTCCAATAAACCAAATAAAATGACCAGCTGAACTCGTGGGTCATTCAAGGTTGATAACGATCTCTTGGTTAGCGCTAGGATGGTGACCTCGGGGGCCGTTCAAGCACAATGTATACCAAGCTACAATGGACTTAATAACGATACTCCAGTGGGAGATCCATCGGGATTGATACTCCGGTGGGAGATCAAGCTTACAATGGAATCGATAAGAATACTCCCGTGTACTCCAGTCTGTCTATATTGATGCTTTGTTGTGAGGAATACTTGGGATATCTGTCGATATTGATAGTGTGAGACCCAGATGGCCTCGATAGCGATACTCCCATTGGGGATCCAAATGGAATCGATCAGAAATATAAGAAATAGATAGTATATATGTAATAAATTTGAGAGAGATTGAAGGAGCTTACCACCAGAAAGGTGAAAGCTAAAAGGAAAAAAAAAGAAAAAAAAACTATTTGAAAATAAATTACGATACGCTTATTTCTTCATATTTTAAGAAACTAAAAGACTAAATCTTTGAATAATATAGTAAATTCTAGGTTAAAAGTTATTATTGAAAAGTAACTAATTATATTTACTAGTTACATTCATAAAAAGGTAACTAGTAATTATATTTCAAAAGTAACTAGTATAAATCATTTATATACGCATCATTTTTATTTAATATAAAAAAAAGAAACTACAAATCATTTACATCAATAATAATTACACTGAAAAATATACCTAAGAATAGATTATTTACACTTAAGTAAAATATCACAATATCATATATATTTGTGCCGATTATTTTTTATATAAATTCGGGCAATAAATTTTTATTTACTTTTAACAATAAACTATTTTCAAAATTTCTGCCTAAATGACTCACTCGTTTATCTCTAAAAATAAGCTTTCTTCGACTCAGCAACGGGTGGGCTAAAAAATTTAAGAACGGTCGGGCGGGTTAAAAAATTTAAACAATGGGCGGGCGGCTAAGTAAACATTAATAAAAAATGTTCCTATGAACTTTTTCGGGTATTCTACTTAGGTGGAAACGATATGAAAAAGATTTGCAAAAACCATTAAGATTAGCTAAAAAAATATTGGCAATTCCTACAACTAGTGCTTCTTCTGAACGAGGATTTAGCATTGCTGGAAGGTTTTTAGAAAAAAAACATGTTTGAATACAGAAAATGTCGATTCATTATTATTTTTGCATTATAATTACATATGATATCAATAAATATATATTTTTTTTCATAAATATTTTATCTAAATTTAATATTTTTTTATGCATTTTTATTGAAAGAATGGCTATAACTAAATTTTATATTGGCGGGTTTAGGATAAAATTTTTTATAAATAATGGACAGCGGTATTTAAAATTTTTTTTTTAACCCCGCCACCCCTTCCCCCTCCCTCGGGTATATTTAAAAATTAAAATACTCCCCGGCCCGTATACCCAGGCCGAGCCTGCAGACTTTCGATTTTTATTATCCAAAAATTAATCTTTTGGGCAGTATTAAAAATTAAATAAAATTCAGTTGTAATCTTAAATTGTCTACTATTAGTTTGAAAGTTGTTTAGTATTTTATACAAATATTTCTTTATTATAAGCTATCAAATATTATATAAATCATTAATCTCAGTTAAAATCAGGTCCTCACATTTACTATATATTTATTAATTAAATGCACATTATATTTAAGTAATATATGAAAATTAACATCAAATTAGATTTAGCACATTAAATATAAAAAAATAAGATTTTATTGCACATTGTGTCATTGAGGTTGAATCTAAATGAAAGTAAACAATCTCTATTTTTGGGTAGTTTTACAAACCAGATTAAATTTTTAACATTTATTTTTATTGAATAATTGCTTTCTTTTTATGTGCAAGAATAGAAATAAATATATTCATCATTTGATAGAATATTTTCGTTAGTTCTTGTATTATTAGATTCGACATAAATTATTTTTTCATTGACCATGTTACTACTATTTCAAAGCAATAATTATGAAATTAGACAACTGCAAATTTTCTCTTAAAGTATTTTCATCATTATTTACCCTATTTTTTTTTCTAATGTAGGTGTAAAGTATTTAAAACAGCCATATAATGTTCTATTTTTATCTAGCCATTTAGTTTTAAAATATTTAACAGTCATGCACGACTAATTACATTTAAATAAGTTATTCAGAGTCTTTATTAAAAATCAATTGGCTTTAAGCTAATTGTTAATGATTGATACTTTACTTAATGTAATTGATTGATTTCATCTATAATCTCCTTAAAATTTTGTATTAGAGGTCATATTTAATACATTTCTATAGATTTGTTAGCAAAAACAATGGTAAACCAATGTGAATAGCTTTTACTGCATCTATAAGTTGGATTTATAAATTATATATAAATTGCATAGATTTAATGGACGAAAGGTTTTTTTTATAAAATTAAAATTTGAATATATCGTCTGTTAATATAATATGTTGTATTTTGGTAAAGATGTAATTTAAGTTTCAGTAGACATGTAAATATTAGTATTTTTATTATGATACTAGGTGATAGCCCATCAAGAATGACGAGGAATCAGAATTTTCTCCCTATAGATAAATAATAAACCTTCATTTGACAATGGATGAATTAGAATTGAGAAGAAGATTATCCGTATTCATTCCTCCAAGATTTCTTTAAATTTTTAGAGAAAAGGACAAATATTTTATGGGAAATATGGAATAAAAAAATATGATTTGTGAGTTATGATATTTATAAATTCTTTTTTCCACATCCAGACGCAATGGTTTTTGGCTTCACACTTCTTATAAAATCTACATTCTTCTCAAAGAATCATTTAAATGCTTTTAAAACCTTCCTAAATACTCTTTTAAAAAAAGACCTGCCATCATAATAGATTCCAATCAATTATGGGGGCAAATCTGATTATCTCACGAACACTGTGGTGGTATCCACCTCATTGCAATGGGCTATTTAAAAGATTATTAGCAAAAATAATTGCCACGGGTCAAAACCTAGGGTCTTATCTTCACATGCCATTTGTATTATATCCAAAATCCTCATCCAAACATGGCTATTATCAAAGTAGACTTTAAATGCTTTCAGTAGTAAATTCGTGAACATTTCATAAATTGT